AAAAAAAAAAAAAAAAAAAGACGGACATAATCTAAATAAATTAGAATAAGCTAAATGATAAATGAAAATTCAGTCTTTACCTTTCTCACACTATTCATACTTATTTTTTCATGTGTTTTGCAGTAAATGAAGGTTACACTTTCCTTTATTTTTACATTATCCTACTGAAGTTCCCCAAATCTGATACTATATTCATAAAGTGTTTATAATTTATTAAATTAGTTTACCATAAACATTAAATTACATTAAACATTATGCTAAAACTAGGAAAGAAATAGGTATTCCAAATTGGTTATATGGTAAAATATGAAATGACATGAAAGCCAAGCATTTCTTTATTCAAATTTATATTTAGTGTTAAATTTTAATAGATACCATTAGTTATTGCCCTATTCCGTTTCCATAGGGATAGTTAGCAGTATGTAAAAAAAAAAAAAAAATCCCCATGCTCCAAGACCGGTTCTCTTGTCAATTCATCCTTCATGTGGAGACTAACCCAGAGAGTGAATGGCAAGTTCTTCTTTAGCAAATTCTTCTTTGCTACTAGGAATGTAGCTCTAAATTCAGAACTGCCCAGACAGTGCAAAGGTTGGCCTCACCTGCTTAAGACCTCACTCTGGAGACTTCTTTGGGTTGGGGCTAAGTGTTTGTAGTTACCCAGCAGAGGTCAGTGTTATCATCATGCTCTGTGTTCACTGAGACTCAGGATTATAGTTCAGGACAGCTCTACTTGATGCTCTCTACTAAGATGTTCGATGCTCTAGAACAAAAACAGGACTAACAGATTTGCGAAGCTTAGCCAAATAGGTCCTTGGAGACTTGATAAAGACATGGCTTATGGTTTATTCCAACAACCACCTAGAGGAAATTATTAACTTCGTGTAGTTAATATTAAAATTAGAAATTATGTAATTAAAAAAGTAAACATAGCCGGGCTCGGTGGCTCAGCCTGTAATCCCGCGCCTTTGGGAGGCTGAGGTGAGTGGATTGCCTGAGCCTGCAGGTTCGAGACCTGCCCGGGCAACTTGGCGAGACCTCATCTCTACAATAAATAAAAAAAAATTAGCCGGGTGTGGTAGCACGCACCTGTAGCTCCAGCTACTTGGAAGGCTGAGGTGGAAGGATCGCCGGAGCCCAGCAGGTCGAGGCTGCGGTGGCCGGGAGCGGCCACTGCACTCCAGTCTGGGCGACAGAGTGAGATTCCCACTCAAAAAAAAAAAAAAAAAAGTAAACATGCTTTGATTGCTTGTTTTCAGAGATTACAGTATTTTCATAATTATTTAGAAAATTATTAATTGCTTAAAATGATACACTTATTTCAAAATTATACATTTAGTTTACTATTCCCTTGAATATTTCTTTTTTTTCCCTTAGTTTTTACATGAAAACATCCATGATGAGGTTGTAAATAGACTTAAAAAAGCCTATGCACAGATCCGAGTTGGTAACCCGTGGGACTGTGAGTATCTGGTTCTGTTTTCAAAGATATTCCTTTTTGCCAGCTGTTGTTAAGAAGTTTTTCTGGTCTTCTGAATTTTGGAGTTTCTTTCCCTTTCCCAAGAGTCCTGAGGACACTTGAAGAAGAAGGGTATTAGGCATTTGGGGTGACACATCTGCTCCTGGGTTAGGACCCTGTATGCTTGGTGTGGGCTGGTGGTTGAGACTGGGAGATCTTTAAATGGGATGAGACTTGGTGAGCTTTTCTTTCCTCACTACTTCTACACTTTTCCAAGCCACCACCATCTCTTTCATGGAAGGCTGCTAGAATTCCCTGACTGACCTTGCTGTGTCCAGTGTACAAAGTGATTCTTTAAAATGCAATCAAGTTATTTACTCTCCTGCTTGAAACACTCCAGTGACTTCTCATTGCTTTTAGACTAAAACTTAGATTGCTCTTGATTCCCTCTTTAGCAGGCTCCCAATCCTTTGTCATCCACCACCTGCCCCCTGTCCTGCCTGCCTTCCAACCATCCCCCTGTGTACATTTGCCCTCTTGCTCCTGAGTTCTGCCTTCTGCAAACTCCTTTTGGTGCTCCAGGCATGCCAGGCTTTGCCCTGCTGGAAACGTTCTTCACCCAGCTCTTCCGTGACTGACTCGGCTAACATGCTGCTTGCTCACAGAGGCCTATCTAGGTCTTCCTTCTTCCTCTGCCCCTGGGTCACTGTCAGTGCCCTAGTTCCCAGCAGCCATACAGAGTAGCATCAGTCTCTTCCCCCTTGAATTGCGCACCAACTACTGAGACCGTGACATTCTTAGGCTGTGGTGAGACTTTAATGCATAAACTGATCCTGTATTTTGAATTCAGTGCTTTGATTAATTGACAGCCATTTCCCTAAACCAAGAGTTGGCAAACAGATTTGGCCCACACTCACTCATTTGCATATCATCTGTGGCTGGTTTCACCCTACAATGGCCAAGTTGAGTATTGTAATGGAGACCATATATATCCTGCAAAGCATAAAATACTCATCACCTGGTCCTTTGCAGGAAAAGATTGCGGAGTCCTGCTCTCAACTGGGATGATATGGGAAAGGATATAGCCTTAGGAAAGCTGTTCTAATAATAGTGCCATTTATGGGAAAATGAAGAACCTTCCTTTTCTCTCTCCAGCTAATGTTCTCTATGGGCCACTCCACACCAAACAGGCAGTGAGCATGTTTCTTGGAGCTGTGGAAGAAGCTAAGAAAGAAGGTGGCACTGTGGTCTACGGGGGCAAGGTAAAGAACGCTTGAGATGAGTCATGACAGCTTTTTTCCTTCCTTTCCCTCAGGCACAAACAGAGCTCTGGGAAAATTGGGGAAGGGTCCTCATTTGACATTCTCCTATCCCTCTCGAACAGGAAATACGTGTTTTAAAGAATAGCAGCAAACAATGCGTGGTACATTTTGGGGAGGACACACAAGAAACTCAGTCATGATTGCCTTTGAGATGAGTTCCTACAAATTTTTATGGAAAAGATATAATCTCTTCATGGTCCAGGAAGACTTTGTATGCAGAACCATCAGAGTCTATATTTTTTGATTATTAAAAAAAAAAAATCAGTTAAGGCAAAGAACCTTTTTTTTTTTTGGAGTTGGAGTCTTACTCTGTCACCCAGGCTGGAATGCAGTGATCCTTCCACCTCAGCCTTCCAAGTAGCTGAAACTACAGACACGTACCACCATGCCTGGCTAATTTTTGATTTATTGTAGAGATGAGGTCTCACCAAGTTGCCCAGGCTGGTCTCGAACCCATGGGCTCAGGCAATCCTCTCACCTCGGCCTCCCAAAGTGCTGGGATTATAGGTGTGAGCCACCGCGCCCAGCCGAATCTTTTTAAAAATTGAACACATATGACATTTGTTTGTGATTCTTTGTTTTATAGCCAAGGTGTTTTCTTCATGTGTGGTAGGAATTTGTTGTTCCTACTTTTGCATAAATCATAAACTGTGCATTTTCTATAATTTAGTTTTACTTAATTTAAAATTCACTGAGACCTGAGTTTCTTGCAGTGCAATCTGAGAGCAGAATCCTTCTTTTAAGTCTTAGCAATGATGTACCCAAATCCAATTAGCCAGAGGTATGTATAGGTATTTGTGTATTTTTAAAATTTTCATCTATTGGTTTTTTCCTAAAACATTCAACTTAATCTTGACAGAAATATCCCCTTTTTCTTTTGTGAAATATTTATTCTACTTAATATTTTCTTTTTTTTTTTGAGTGAGAGTCTCACTCTGTTGCCCAGGCTGGAGTGTCCCATCATGGCTCACTACAGCCTCCACCTCCTGGGCTCAGGTGATCCTTCTGCCTTATCCTTGGGCAGCTAGGACTACACATATGCACCACCATGCCAGGTTAATTTTTTTGATTTTTTTTGTAGAGATGAAGTATTGCTATGTTGCCCAGGCTTGTCGCAAACTCCTGGGCTAAGCAATCCTCCTGCCTCAGTCTCCCAAAGTGCTAGAATTACAGGCGTGAGCCACCATGCCGGGCCTTTTCAAACTTAATCTAGATGGAAGTATTCCTTTTTTCTTTTGTGAAATATTTACTTAAGTTACAAAATGTAATAAATATGGCATTCTAGTAACAAATATGACTGCCATGCACTAGATCAAGAGTAAGTACCGTTGTCACTTGGCAAACAGAGCTCAAAGGATGAGAGCAGAATTACAGAGACTCACAGGAAAGTCACCCTCCAGCCCAAGCAACTTTCTGTAGGCATCAGAATACTTTATAGATGGAAAGGGAATTGTTAGCTAAGTGGACATGAACTAGTCATTTGGTTATGTGAGGCTGGTTAAAGAGAGTATCTATAGAATACCTTTTTGGAGTTTGTGCTTTTGGTATAATGTGTATTCTTCTGCTAGAGTGTCAACAATACCATAGACTGGGTGGCTTAAACAACATAAATTTTTTTCTCACAGTTTTGGAATCTTGAAATCCAAGATCAAGGTACTGGTGGGTTTGGTTTCTGGTGAGGCCTCGTTTTCTGGCTCACTTATAGCCATGTCTTTATGTGACATTTCTCTGGTGTCTCTTCCTCTTTTTTTTTTTCTCACTCTGTTGCCCAGGCTGGAGTGCAGTGGCACGCTTGCAGCCACATCAGTCTCCACCTGCTGGGCTCAGACGATCCTTCTTCTTTAGGCTTCCAACTAGTTGGAACCACAGGCATGTGCCACCATGCCTGGCGAATTTTTTGATTTATTATAGAGATGTGGTCTCACCAAGTTGCCCAGGTTGGTCTCGAATCCCCGGGCTCAGGCAATCCTTTCACCTCTACCTCCTAAAGTGCTGGGATTATAGGTGTGAGCCACCGTGCCTGGCCTCTTCCTCTTCTTTTAAGGGCCCTATTCCTACTGGATTTGAGCTATATTGTAATTACCTCATTTAACCTTAATTACCTTCTTAAAGGTTCTATCTCCAAATGTAGTCACATTGAGCATATTAGGGCTTCAATATACGAATGTGGGGGACGGCGCAATTCAATATATAACACAACAGCTATAGATTACCTATTTTAAAATTCTATAAATTTAAAAATAACCACTTGCAGCAGTTTTTTTCAATGTAACTTGGTTGTGACACATGGCACAGCTCCCCATCCCTGATTCCCCTTTTTTCCTCTCTACCAACTAAGTTAAAGTGATTAGGAGGAAGACAGAATTTTCATTCATGATAGAAAGTTATTTTGGGGAAATAATTCACCTATCAATGCCGTTTGTTTTTTTCTCAAGTACAGTAAGTCCCCTACATACAAACCTTCAAGTTATGAATGTTAACAATACACATGTGCTTTTTTAATGCATTATTTATGTCCACCAGGGGTTTGTATAGTCTGTTATATACATATAGTACTATATAGCCATTTGTGTTAGTTGAGTACCTAGGCTAATTTTGTTGGATTTAGAACAAATGAACTTATGAATGTACTCTCGAAACTGAACTTTGTACATCGGGGACTTCCTGTCTAGGCAAAGATTGCACCTTCTTACCTCAAGTACTAGAAAATAAAATGCTTTCATTCTTTTTATTTCCTTTCTCTGCATAAGGTTATGGGTCGCCCTGGGAATTATGTAGAACCGACAATTGTGACGGGTCTTGCCCATGATGCATCCATCGCACACACAGAGACTTTTGCTCCGATTCTCTATGTCTTCAGATTTAAGGTAAAAAGGATTCTGTTTCTCTTTTCTCTTTTCTAATAGATGGCAAAAGACAAGAGGGAAATGTCGGCATATTAAATTTTACTTGGTTGGCCTTTAAAGGTTTTAGAAAGTTGTCTGAATAGTAGAAATTTGAGGGATCAGGATAATATGATGAGATGAACACTATTCAGCATGCCAAACTAGCTGCCAGGGAAACCATGATGGTTAGCAAAACAGTGTTGGAGTTTATGGAGCGTGTAGCCCTTATCTCTGGTGTCACCCTATTCTGAGTGGAGTGGGCCAGACAGGTAGCTTCTCCTGAACCCAGGGATTGGATTCAATAGCCTGAGTGCTGTGTACTTGTCAGACTAAATAAGATATGAGAGCAATCTAAAGACCTACAACCAATCACAGAAAAAAAGAACTGAGTACCACATGTTTTCACTCATAAGTGAACCTTGAACAATTATCATAATACTATAAGAAAGTGATTGGCAGTAGTGGGAAATTGCCAGGGGAGGTAGGGGAGCGGGATCGGCAGTAGTGAGAAACTGTCAGGGGGGGGACACACCTCATCAGCAAGGGTACCTGCATAATGAGCATTTGTATATCTAACCCTGAATTATACCCCACATCTTTAAAATAAAAAATTTAAAAAATAAAAACATAGCTATAAACCACGTAAGAAGACAGGCTATGGAGCTTTTAATAGGGAGGTCTCATTCCCTGCCATGAAACAGGCCCTAACCTTGCCAGCAAATGTGTAGGACTGGTTTTAAGACTATAGAGATTGGATCAAGATTAGAATGTGCCATTATTAACAGTTAAAGTTTAGTGAGAATTGCACCCTTTTGAATTTATATGATTTATTTCTTTACATCTTACTTTAAATTTTCTATCATAGATAGGGGAACTAGAGAGTATAATTTTGTGTTTTGTAATGTGTATGTGTATTTGACTGTGGGCTCTTAAATTATTTAGTCTCTCTGGGTCTTAGTCACCCAATCTGTAAATTGGGAATAGTATAAAATCTGTGTCATAGTGTGAGGATTAAATAAATATGACCAGGTGTGATTGCTCATGCCTATAATCCCAGCACTTTGAGAGGTCAAGGTGAGAGGATTGCTTGAGCCCAGCAGTTCAAGAGTAGTTTAGTCAACATACCAAGACCTCATCACTACAAAAATAAAAAACTTAACTGTGTGTGGTGGTATATGCCTGTAGTCCCAGCCACTTCGGAGGCTGAGGTGGAAGAATCATCTATACCCATGAGATGAACGCTGCAGTGGGCTATGATCATGTCACTGCAATCCAGCCTGAAAGACAATGAGACCTCTCACTCAAAAAAAAAAAAAAAATTAGAGGGAAAATCCCCAAAAGTTTTACTTCTTATAAATGATCCAAATTGTAAGAGAAACATAGCATTAGTAAACTCTTGACTATGATTTCCTTTTGTGAATTAGAATTTTACTGGTACATCTCAGGAAGTGAGTTTAATGTCAGTGAAATTTGACCTGAACACTGTAACATCCAACAGCTTCCATCATCTGTGTTTTTAGAATGAAGAAGAGGTCTTTGCGTGGAATAACGAAGTAAAACAGGGACTTTCAAGTAGCATCTTTACCAAAGATTTGGGCAGAATCTTCCGCTGGCTTGGGTACAACTTTATTTGTCTATTTTGAACAGTTGCATAAATCTGATTTATGTGGTGAGTGAATTTTTAAAAAAACAAAGTCATAGTTGAAAATCCATTTTTCATCATTGACGGTCTTTGAGTTTTTGTTTGGGTCTTTCATTTATGTGTTTTGTTTTTAATTTCTTGTCCATTGCTCTCACCCTGCCTCCATTTTTACAGACCTAAAGGATCGGACTGTGGCATTGTAAATGTCAATATTCCAACAAGCGGAGCTGAAATCGGAGGTGCATTTGGTATGTAGAGAATCTCCTCTTCCATGTTGGGCAGCAAAGAAAAAGCAGTTGTAATGTTTAGAAACATTGGATCAGGAAACTGAAATACTACTTATGTTCTGAAGTAATCTTATGTGATCTAATTTGCCTGAAAAAGCTTGTATTCTGTATTCAAAGTTATTGTTTAGAATCCTGCATTTTTCTCCTTAGATGCAGTGTCAGATTGAAGCAGAGATCTTTAAGCTAAGATAGGTGAACCCCTGAAATAGGGGCATGTTTATCAGGGAGTGGGTCCAAGACCTACAGAAGATTAAGAATGCCTACTTCAAAGCCAGGAAATTTTGTACAAAATATTCTGGTTTTTATTTGCAAAGTAGACATAATAAATATTAAACTTTTTTTTTTTTTTTTTTTGATTCATGGTTTCATTTTGCTGCCCAGGGTAGACATGATCATGGCTCACTGCAGCCTCCAACTCTTGGGTTCAAGTGATCCTCCTGCCTTAGCCTCCTGAGTAACTGGGACTTCAGGCATGCCACCATGCCTGGCTAATTTTTTAACTTTTTGTAGAGACAAGGTCTTGTTCTGTTGCCCAGGCTGGTCTTGAATGTCTAGGCACAAGTGATCCTCCCACCTTGGCCTCCCAAAGTGCTGGGATTATAGGCATGAGCTACGGCCCCAGGCCAAACATATCTTTTACTAGATAGAATACTAAGTTGTTTCCTTTCACTGGGCCCTGCTGCTATTTGCTCTTAATAAACCATATGTTATTAATGCTTAAATTTTTGTAATAGTCAAAAAAAACTTTAACAATTGTATATTAAGTTTTCCTTAGTATGGTAAAAACAGTACCTTTTTAAAAAAAAAATAGAAGCAAAACAAATATGCATGAATACAGGTAAAAGTTTATATAATTAGTGGCATTCTTGTGTTTTTATTTTATTTTATTTTATTTATTTTATTTTTTTTGAGTCGGAGTCTCACTCTGTCACCCAGACTGGAGTGCAGTGGCCACTCCTGGCCACCGCAGCCTCGATCTGCTGGGCTCCGGCGATCCTTCCGCCTCAGCCTTCCAAATAGCTGGAACTACAGGCATGCACTACCACGCTCATGATTTATTGTAGAGATGAGGTCTCACCAAGTTGCCCAGGTGGGTCTTGAACCTGCAGGCCCAGGCAGTCCACTCACCTCGGCCTCCCAAAGCATTGGGATTACAGCCTGAGCCATCAAGCCAGGCTCTTTTTTGTGTTTTTAGACCAAACACTACAATTACTATTTGGTGCACAGACTTCGACAGAATTTTTGATTTTTAGTTCACTCCTCACCCCTGCCCTCTACTGTAGTGGTTTGAATGCATGAGTGTCTATCTGCTTCTGTATGCATCTAATCCGTTTCCAACCCATACCTACTTTATCCAGTTGACTATTTTTCATTTAGTTTCATAGCTAATTTTAAAAGTGTTAAAAACAGTCTGTAAAAATTTTTTAAAAAAATTTTTTGTAGGGTCAGCGTCTTACTATGTTGTCCAGGCTGGTTTCAAACTCCTGGGCTCAGGCCATCCTCCTGCCTCGACCTCCCAAAGTGCTGGGACTAAAAAGTCTTATGATGAGAAAAGCAGTTCTGCTCACACTTTCTTCCTCCTCTTTTTCAGAGTCTACTCTGAGATTTTTCTTACTAAAATAAAAAAGTTGCCTTTAGTTTATCTCAGTTTTTCTGAATAGTGTGCTTTAACTGCTATCTCTTTGACAACTTTAGGCATTTGCTCTATTTTGATAGATTAACCCTTCTAGACTTTCCTTCCCTTTCGCTGTCTCTTCCTTGTGTGTGATATGACATAATTGCCTGGGGTGATGTTCAAAGGAAACCAGGCACAGTCTTCCAAGAGTCTTCTTTCAGTGGAGACATACAAGATGTGCCTTGTCCTTCCAGCAATGAGTTGTGACAACATGTGTGAAATGTTGTTTACCATCAAAACTCATTAGAACTTGGTGCCCAAGACTTTTACTGGGGTTGGTCATATAAGCACCCTCTGCTGAGCACATACTAAAATTCCAGATTCCTAGGAGAAAAGCCAGTATTAAGCAGGTATTAAACCACATTGTTTATACAAACACAGTTTAGCCTCAGTGAGCTACTTTTATCATTTAAGGAAAGTCTTATATTCGTTTAGGAAACTGTTTGCCAGTCAAGTTTCCAGATGCCAGCAGATTTTCAAGACATGCAACAGGTCCTTGAATGATATGGTATTGTTATAATGTTGATGAGGAAAAATAAAAAAATTGATTCCCAGTGGGGGCCACTGTCTGTGTGGAGTTTGTATGTTTTTTCCATGTCTGCGTTAGCTTTTTTCCAGGTTTTCCATATCCCACATCCCTAAGCTGTGCATATTAGGTGAATTGGTGTGTCTAAATGGTTCCAGTCTGTGTGCATGTGGGTGGGTGTGAGTGTGCCCTGAGATGGAATGGTGTCCTGTGCAGGTTTGGTTTCCACCTTGATCCCTGAGCTTCTAAGATAGTCTCCAGTCACTTGTAATTCGGAACTAGAATAAGCAGGTTGGAAAAGGAATGACTAAATGAGTACAAGTTATTGTAAAATAAAAATGTGTAAAGTATACAGTAATCATACAAATATACAACAATAAACACTGCTTGAAAGCACCCAGTGAACCCACCATATTTGTTGCTATTTGTTTTTGAACTGTGTGGTGGTAGGAGGTGCTCCTTAAAATTTTTGTTCTGTAAATATTTATTCCTTCTTTTAACCCACCACCACTATGATTACTGTCACTCACTGATTCACCAAAAATTAGGTAAATAGTTATCTTATTTGTTTTTTTTTCCCCTTAAATGTATGTATAGATCACATTTATTTCAATGTTTTATAGTAGAAATGTTTGAGGTCTTTTTTAGAAATGTGATGTTTTTGAGACCAGAAATATGGTATAGTAACTTAACTCTTGTTTATATTAATTAGCCTATGGTAAAATTGTGGGGTTGTTTTGTTTCTTTTACAATGTTACACTTAAAGTCGTAGTTTCTTTTTTTTTCTCTTTTGAAGAGAGGAGTTTCACTATGTTGCCCAGGATGGTCTCAAACTCGTGGCCTGAAGTAATCATTCCTCCTTGGCCTCCCAAAGTACTGGGATTGCAGGCATGAGCTTTAGACTGTACACAGCCTCAAGTTGTAGTCTCAGATAACCTATCAATGACATTAAATTAGGACATACTATACCTTCTGTGCTTTTTCTGCGTAGTTTGTGATAATTTGTTTTCAGAATTTTGTAGCCATTACTCATTTGTCTTCTGGTTTCTAGTACTGCAGTTGCAAGGTTCATCCATTTTGGTTTCTGATTCTTTTTTTCTCTACTTTCAGAAAGTTCTGGGTTTACTATTTATGCCTGACATTCTGAAATTTATTAATAATATATCTCAATGAAGATCTATGTAAATATTTTTTGTCTGACCATCAGTAGGCAGTGTTTGGCCTCATTAGGATATTGGGACTCATAGTTTTCAGTTCTAGAAAGTTTTTACTGGTTTTCTTTTACTTGGTAGTATTTCTTTGATGATTTTCTTTTATTTTCTCTATTTAAATTTCTAGAGCTCTTGTCATTTGAATGTAGCCTCTTGAATTGATTATCTAATTTTGCTATCTTTTTTCTTCTATTTTCCATCTCTTTCATCTTTTTGTTTTTAAAATGGTAGATTTTCTCAATTTTTTTCTCTAATCTTAAGTGTTTCTCCTCTGCTATTACTAAAAACAACACCAAGACTTACTTCTTGTACTTTGATGGCACATTTTTAAATAGTACTCTTTTCTTGTTTTATAGAATCTTTATCTTCTAATTACCTCTTTTAAAGATAGCATTTAAAGATATTTTATTATAAAAGCAATATACATAGTAAAATATTAGAATATTTAGATGAGCATAAAAGAGAAAAAAATTGTATTTCCACTGACTAGAGTTTTCTACCTTTTTTTTTTTTTTGAGTTGGAACTCACTCTGTTGTCCAGATAAGAGGGCAGTGGCATGATTATGGCTCATGACCTCCTGGGCTCAGGTGATCCTTCTCCCTTAACCACCCAAGTAGCTGGGACTACAGGTACATGCCAACACACCCAGCAAATTTTTTGACTTTGTTTTTTTGTAGCAACAAGGTCTTACTATGTTGCTTAGGCTGGTCTCAAGCTTCTAGGCTCAAGCAGTGCTCCTGCCTCACCCTCCCAGAGTGCTGGGATTTCAAGTGTGAGCCACTGCACCTGGCCTGATTTCTACTTTAATTACCTTAGTCTAACTGTATTTTTTTTAAAAAGGGCTTCTTCCTGATATCTTTCTATTTCCTCTTAGTTCTTTCTATTTTATTTTTCCTCTTAGTTCTGTTTTGGTCTCTGCCTTTTATTTATTTGTGGAGGAGATACTGTGGCTGAATGTGAAGTAACTGGTCAGGTAGCTCTGTTCTCTTAATTTCAGCGACACTGAGTAGGAACCCATACAGAAACTGTTCGAAAGATGTGAGAGTATTTTGTATTTCTCTAGGAGGAGAAAAACACACTGGTGGTGGCAGGGAGTCTGGCAGTGATTCCTGGAAACAGTACATGAGAAGATCTACTTGGTAAGAAAGGGCTTTGGGGAGATGGTTTGGGCTTAAGCTGCTTTTACGTGCTTCTACTGTCTGTGCTGTCTTTGTGCACTTCCACTTGATTTTGTTTTTCCAGTGTTTCACAGCTGTCTCAGAGAATCTGTTTTGTATTCTTATTTTTCTAGCCTTCTCGTCCAACTTCAGCTAGTGTCAAGCCCACATCTAGGAAACCATCTTATCTTGGTGGTGGTTTCTATCCAGGAGATAGCATGAGAGCAGGACACGTGAGGGTCAACCAGGTGAAGAATGCAGAAAGAGCTGTCCTTTTCACTTTCTTCTTGAACGCAGTCACCATCCTCATAGATCACAGAAGCAGCAGACAACAGAGGCAGGGAGGGGCCTACAGGTCTGACTGGCAAGCTGGGAGCTACCAGCTCTTGAATAGCAAGCATGATCCTTGGAAGTGAAGGAGTTCTTTCACCCAGCACGTGTGTAGCTGTGGCTAGTCTGCTACTGGGAGATTTTGTCTAGGACTTGTTTCTTTTATTTTGTCTCCCTCTACCCTTAGGTAGAAATAGCTTTTATGGAAGGCTGAGGCGGAAGGATCACTGGAGCCCAGCAGGTCGAAGCTGCGGTGGCCGGGAGTGGCCACTTCACTCCAGTCTGGGCGACAGAGTGAGACTCCAACTCAAAAAAAAAAAGAAATAGCTTTTATCCAAATGCAATAAAACAAAGTATCCAGGTGTGTGGCGGTGTTGTGTTGCAGAAAGAGCCCTGAGTGAGGAACCAAGAGATGCCTGTCCCAGTCCCATTTGCTCCTGTCACTAGCTCTGGAGACTCAGTCAACCTTGCTTCCTTAGAACCTCTGCCATTGTGTTCCTGTCAGGAGTTTCTGAGGTGCTTTTAGCCTGGGGTGTTCATGCTCATTGCCGGCTTCCTGTTCTTTGAGGTCATCATGTCCTGGTTACTTGTTTTGTGCATTTGAGAACCAGAGGGGCAAACATACTTAGTTGTGATTTTTCTGGAACCCATTTAGAGAGGATGCTTTTCCTCTCACGAGAAAAACCAGTGATGACCAGGTGACTTGTTAATAAATAAGCTTTCATTTCTAAGTTGTTATATTTTCTTACTTCTATCAAAATATCTATGTTTTCCCTAATAATTTAGTACAAGTTATTTACAGATATAAATAAGAAAGTTACAGCTCACATATTCTTGTGCCCTGTTCAAAACAAAATTGTGAATAATATAGCGTCTTTCCAGATTTTTGTGTTTCTCTTTTTCTTTATTTTATAATACTGGATTCATACTAACATTGTCTTGTAGCTTAAATTTTTTTCACCAACTTACAACTTGGACATGTTAATATATATAGGTCTACATTTTTAAATGACATGAAAATATTCTATATTATGTATCATTCATTTACTTTTGTTCCTTTTTCCCTCCCTAGCACAATCAACTACAGTAAGGACCTTCCTCTGGCCCAAGGAATCAAATTCCAGTAAAGGTGTTTTAGGTGGACATTACTGGATTTTAGGCATTCCTGCAGCTGCTTCTGAAGAAGATAAAGAAAATTAAAATGTGCCTTGAATAAATGCATTATTTTGAAATATAACAGTGACTAATCCCCTATGACCCCAAAACTCTGACTCATTTTTAAAAATCAAAATAAAATTATCACAACGTAGTCATATTCACTAAAAGATGGGTTGGATGGATTTTTACATCACTAATTGTATGTGATTTTTTGTTTGTTTGTTTTTTTGAGTTGGAGTCTCACTCTGTCACCCAGATTGGAGTGCAGTGGCCGCTCCCGGCCACTGCAGCCTTGACCTGCTGGGCTCTGGCGATCCTTCTGCCTCACCCTTCCAAGTAGCTGGAATTACAGGCACACGCTACCACACCCAGCTCATTTTGATTTATTGTAGAGATGAGGTCTTGCCAAGTTGCCCAGGCGGGTCTCAAACCCTCAGGCTCAGGCAATCCACTCACCCCAGCCTCCCAAAGGCACGGGATTACAGGCTAAGCCACCGAGCCCGGCTTGTACGTGGTTTTTTTAAGTTAATGATTATTTTATAATTACAAAAGACAGAACATGCCAGGATAGGAATATGAGGGAAAATACAGAGCAGACTAGAGAAGAAAGTAGAAGTCTTTGCAGTAGATGCAGGTGTCTTCTGAGCAAGAGAAGAATTCCTGTGGTGAGTACTGATTTATGTTACCCATTCTGGCATGTACTGGACATGTGATTGAAGGGAGATGTGGCCCTTATATGCCAAGAATTGTAGCACAGTATTTGTGTGGAAAAACTTGCCATGTTTAGAATGACAACAGGCATTCACCACCAGTTATGGCTCTTGCTCATGATGGCTGTGTCAACTTGGAAGAGATTTGCAGGGTAGACATAGATTTTGCATTTTTTTAGTTTTAAAAATTTCTTGTAGAAACAGGGTCTTGCTATGTTGTTCAGGCTGGTCTTGAACTGCTGACCTCAAGTGATCCTTCTCACATTGGCCTCTCAAAGTTTGGAGGTTCCACACATGAGCTACCATGCCCAGTAGACAGATTTTACTCCGGTCCTAGAGCTTGCCAACTGCTGAGGCCTCCGAGGCCAAAACTGCCTTCACAGAATTCTGTTGAAAGCACATCTGGCGTGGTGGCTCACACCTATAATCCCAGCACTTTGGGAGGCCGAGGTTAGAGGAGAACAGCTAGGCAACTTGACAAGACCTCATCTCTACAAAAAATTAAAAATTAGCTGGGCGTGGTGGCATATGCCTGTAATTCCAGCTACTTGGAAGCCTGAGGTGGAAGGATCACCTGAGCCCAGCAGGTCGAGGCTGCAGTGGCTTGGAGTGTACCACTGCCATCCAGCCTGGGTGACAGAGTGAAACTCTGACTCAAAAAAAAAAAAAAAAAGGAAGTACATCTGGATTTTATATGCAACTTTAGAACATTTTCTTTCGTGGTTAGGCTTCTGCAGTTGCCCTTGGATTTGTCCTCTCTGTGTGTGGCAGCATGTGTTCACAGAGAGCTGGGGAAGGCTTACTGCCAGAGTCCAGCTCCAGCAGAGTCCAGAGATTCCTGAAGGTGGAGACGGCATTAGTGCTGTGAGGAAGAAAGACTTTGGACAACTGTTCTGGGAGTAGAGCAGATGCTGTTTATTGTGAGTTAACAGTGGGTTTTTATCCCTGATTTGCAAAGTCATCCTTACAAAGCACATCACGCACAAATCACATGAGCAGGACTGGGTGCACGAGGGGCGCCCCCACACCCGGCAGATGTTTTCTCAAGCATGGGGAAGAATAAATATAAAATTCTTTTTCTGTTCCTCATGCTTGGCCAATGTTCCTCAAAAGCAGTTTTTCGTGTTCCTATCTGATTGTTTTACAGATTACAATGATCTTAAATTGACATTCCACTAATCAATAACCCAAACCCGAAACTTACAATCTTACTTGTTACACATTAAATTCTAAACTTTTAACTAACAATCTGAACCTGAAACTAATAAAAATTATAAATCCTCTCCTAAATAATGAAACCTATTCTTTTACTAAACAGTCACTAAAAGTTCGAACAGTAGTTTCTGGCTCTAGGCTTTGAAGCAGTCCATGCATAGAGTTCTTTCTTCTACGCAGAGCAAAGTTCATCAAGAAATCTCCTCAAAGCAATGTAGGTACACATTCCTTCATGTATGAGAAGTCCCCTTGTTTCAGCTTCCCGGAGTCCAGGGCCTATTACTGTTTCTATAATTCTTATTCCTAAAATTTAAAACTTCTAATGATTTTATTAATGCCTAAAGTAATCCTTAACCTATATACCTAACACATATATCTAATTCACTCTAACTTTACCTATAAAGCTAAATTCATATTCAAAACCTTAATTACCTACTATACTTAAACTTTATCCAACTCTTAACTCATTACTAATCTTAATCTTATAAATTTCATAAATCTCATACATAAATCCTACATAAATTTCTAAATTAATCAATAAACTAAAAATTCTTAACTCATTATCTATAACTCGTGACTAAGCAAAAAGATCTCCTTTTTTTTTTTGAGTTGGAGTCTCACTGTGTCGCCCAGACTGGAGTGCAGTGGACGCCCCGGCCACCACAGCCTCGACCTGCTGGGCTCCGGCGATCCTTCCGCCTCAGCCTTTCGAGTAGCCAGAATTACAGGCACGCGCTACCACGCCCAGCTAATTTTTTGATTTATTGTAGAGATAAGGTCTCGCCTGCCCAGGCAGGTCTCGAACCTGCAGGCTCAGGCAATCCACAAAAAGATCTCTTTAACGTACTTCAGAGTTTAATTATAACATGGATTGAGAAAGCCAGACCACGTAGTGGGAAGTGGAAAAGCGAACAATGGTGTTCTAAAGTTACTGTGTGTTGTGTATGCCTCACACACTATTGTCCTCATGCTCAACTGTACAGAATGCTTCTCTGCCAATGGTGTCAGGCAAGGTGGAAGGCAAAGGGGTCGCAGCCCCCGAGCTCGTCCTTGCGGCCCAGGGTCAACGGTACTGCTGTTTATGCAGACCTCCAAGGCTGGCTCCCAACAGCTTACTTATTTTATTTTCTTATTTTTATTTTTTAGTTGGAGTCTCACTCTGTCACCTGGGCTAAAGTGCAGTGGCATGCTCCTGGTCTCTGCAGCCTCATCCTGCTGGGCTCAGGCAATCCTTCTACCATAACCTTCCAAGTAGTTGGAACTATAGGCATACACCACCATGCCCTGCTAATTTTTTATTTATTGTAGAGATGAGGTCTCACCAAGTTGCTTAGGCTGGTCTCGAACCCTGGATTCAGGCAATCCTCTCACCTTGACCTCCCAAAGTGCAGGGATTATAAGTGTGAGCCACCATGCCTGGCCAGAAAGTTTACTTTCTCAGTGCTGAGAGTCTGCCCTTTCTTGTTGACAAGCTGCCTAGGAGCCTTTGGGCAGGTCCAGATCAGAGACTCCTCCTATCCTGTCCTCCTGGCAGTCTCTTCTCCCCCTCTGCATGGCAGCCACCACCCCCTCTACTCCTGCCAGGGTGGCCAAGGGCAGAAGCCTTTGAAGAAGACGGCATTTGTAGGCAACCCAGTGCATCCGGATTTGGAGAGATTTGAACAACTGGCAAAGAGTTTAAGGTAGGATTATGACCCAAAAATGCAAACAATGAAAAACTAAAGTATAAATGTACCATGGAAGGAAAGGGATTCATAATGTGTCCTATGAATCATGTTTCACTAGACATGCTGTTGTCAAATTGGATGTATGAATCAAGTGAAATAACTGATGATTTAAATATTGAGATAGGCAGGAAGAGCTCAGGGGCCAGGGTAGGTAAGAGCACTTACCTTAGGTATCAGTTTTGGGTAAAACTGATTCTGAAAGCTTTCTTTGCAAGGAGTTCATAATTTTTCTACATATTTTTAGAACGAGAACTCACTTTTTTGGTCATAATGTTCATTTAAAATTTTTGCCTTTAGGCCAGGCTTGGTGGCTCATGCCCGTAATCCCAGCACTTTGAGAGGCTGAAGCTGGAGAATTGCTTGAACTCAGGAGTTCGAGACCAGTCTGGGCAACAAAGTGAAACCCTATCTCCACAACAAACAAACAAAAGTTAGCCAGGTATAATCCCAGCTACTTGGGAGGTTAAGGCAGGAGGATCACTTCAGCCAAGGAGTTTGAGGCTGTGGTGGGCCATGATTGTGCCACTGCACTGGTTGATAGTGAAACCCTGTCTCAAAAAAAATTTTTAATTGTTCTTTTTTTACTGACTTAACAAATACAAGTCACTTATTAATATTTCTAACCACACAAGTTAAAGTGTATATTAGTAAGTCTTATTGCCATATATTTGAAGGTGTGAGGAGTCTTGTGCTGCCCGTTACTGGGTGTTTTGGAGCATTTTTTGACTACTGCTACCTCCTAAATCCTGTGTTCTTTTGTTTTCTTTTTTCTTTTATTTTTTTTGAGTTGGAGTCTCCCTCTGTCACCCAGACTGGAGTGCAGTGGCCGCT